ACACAAAGGCAGGAAAAAAAGAGAGATGAGTACTGTGGAAGTGGTAGAATATGACATACATTGGGGCCATTGTAGCTTGAGGTCAGAAGTCAACTGCCAGTATATAGACCTTTTGGCCGTATGAATATACGTTGCCCAGGGTGCACCACGTGGAGGTAAGTCTATCGCACACCCGGACTGTTATCCTAATATACGCTTTCTGACATGACGATCACATACTAGATTTGACAGTTGTTTGATCGTCCCGACCATGGTCGTTGAACGGTCGAGAGGTCTCTGCTTTTGTTATTCCAGAGTTGTGTTTCACGCTGGATTGAATAATCTTAGTCACTCCGAAAAAAATAGAAAGGACTTGCTTTGCAAAGTATCTCAAGTATTAAGACAGCATTATTTAAATGATTTATAATATCTCAGTGGTTTGCGAGCGAGTTGAGTATCATTATTTTTATTATGATAACTACTTTCAATTTCGCATATTTAAATCTCAGACTTTACTGAATTCTGCATAGTCTGAAGTAAATTGTATTGTTGAAGGTGAATATTAGCTTGCATTAAATAATTCATTTATTTTTAGAATAATCAACCATACACACAGGTAAGTAAAATTATCGATAATATATATATGTATGTCATATGTTTAATATATTTTTTTGAACTTAGCAATCTATTCGTTGGTTTAATTACGGAGAGCAGGCTGACCTTGTAAGAAGCACCGCACACTAGTACACCGAGACTAGCAAACTTTGGTTTAACAAAACAATTAAAAAATTGATTTGCTATCACTGGGTGTAGCGCTGCCTATTTGTGTCTACTTCATTATGCTTTCATCTCTATAATTCATGTTGTGCGCGTCTAGTTTTTCTCCAATTGAAAACAAATAATCTAATCTAGTCAACCCCACTATATTTCCCCTTTGCACACCTAAAATCTTTCAATGTCCAAAATTGAAATTTTTCAAAATTTATATTTATTTCAACATTCCAATAGCCAACGAAACAAGAAGTGAGTATTCTGCGCCTTATTAATTAAAGATTGTAAATTGTATCCTTTTATTAAAATAGCAAAGTTGTGACAGCTTTGAGGTACGTACACGAATGAAAACAATAGGTATGGGCTTGGTAAAAGAACTTTTATTTCTACGAAATTGAAATATTTTGTGGAAAGAAAAAAGTGTTTAAACTTCTTTTGTTTGATTGTTTTGAGAAATGAGACTTTGATAGATCAAAGGGACATGCATTCATGTAACTTTTACTCGACAATGAGAAAACCATGGTTTTGCACTTGGAAAATAGTGATACTAGTTTTATAGTTGAAAATTCTTTGCTTAATGTAAAATTTAAACAAATTTTGTACTTCTTCCAAATGGAACTTAAACAAAAACAAGGATTGTTTAGACGATAAGGTTCTAGGCATTAATGAATTTAAAATCTGGAATTACCCAAATTTATCTAATTAGCTTGTTATTGATTTAAAGTCTGCATCTCAAAATGCACAATTTGGAAAATTGAATGCTTATTAGACTCTTAACTCTGCGTTATAGACATGAACAGGGAAACGTAACTTGTATTTTAGTTAATTTTTGGCGTAAGGACTGTAAGCAATAGGAATCTGTGGTCTTCTATTAGCACAATAACAATTGTAGCATCAAATCACCCATTAAGTTAACTCTATTTCCTAAGCTTTACCATCCTGAAAATAAGTAAATTGTATAAGATTATGATATGTGCATCTCAGACTTTGAAGTTTCTAAGTTTTTGAGTGAGCTATTTCTACCATAAAAATTAAACAATTGGCCACCAAAAACTGGATGAGACTTTTGTCATATTACAGGAAACAACCAATACGATTTGAATTTTGAGAAGTTTGGACATAATGGGCTATCGATTCCTTACAATTATGTCTTCTTAAATTGCTATTATTGATTTTAGTCGCATTTTTACAATTAAGAATGTTAAAAGTTTTCTACGATGTTGCGTGTTCTAATAATAGCCCATTTTAATTAAGTCATTTTTTGAGTTAAATTATGTTGAAGTCAAACAATTTAAATAAGAATCTTTTTATCCACACATATAAGCCAGAGTGTCTTGAAAATAACTTTATTCAATCAAGGACTAGCACCTTAACTGCAATTTAAACATTGGCTTTAGTGTAATTCATCATAAGAAAAATGTTTCCTAGTTAGTAATTTGTAGAAAGTGAAGTTTTATTAAAGCCAAATGTTAATAAAGTGAATTTTCATTACCTCCATTTATGTAAGAAACTGACTTTATTGGGCTTATGTAGAAAGAAGTGTAAAGGTCAAATAAGGAAACATTTAAGAATATTTTTCACAATTTAATTCTTTTAATTCAAGGGTGGGATGTCTAATCCTGTAGTAAGTGCATTAACAATTTGCATTCAATCACATCACCCAAATTTAACACAAGCTTAATAATTATGCACTTGTGGCGGAACTAATAAGGCCCTTTTTGCACAGCGTTATCATTCTACTAATCTTGAATTCACCCATCCTTAATGAATACTAACCAAATCTATATAAGACATTATGAGCGCGAATAAACAAATGGATCTTAATAAGCTAACTTATCATCAATAATTCACTGTTTGTCATTCATTTCTATTAATTTGGAAATAACTCGACAGATAGGCATTCTTCTAAGAGTTCAGCCTAAAATTTTCACAGTCCATTTGAAGAAATGTTCATAAACCATTGTATTTTTTATTTAAAAGCCAGATTAATTAGCGTTCATATCATATGCGTTCAAGTATTACATTAAGCGCCATCTATATAAATACTATCTGTGTTGATTTTAACATTCTTTTCACATATTTGATCGCAACTGTCATTTACCTTCTAGTGATATTTCTTTAATTAAAAGTCAATATAATTCTACCTTCTGAATGAAACTTAATTATAGCCCGTTAAACCATCGGTGAGTTATTTTTATAAGCATTTAGTTTAACAATAAATATATTTCATGCCTTTCTTTAAAGCTACGTTGAAATTGGAATTCAATTAGTACCCGCATATACCACTACGTATGGTATAATACGATAAAATGTATTAAAATTTCAAGGAAGACTTTCCAACTTGATGTAGAACATGCTTACACTAATGCGTTACTTATTTTGAGTAAATGATGTTTATCGAAACTGGAATAAATCATTCTGCCTCAATATCCTAAAGTAATACAATTCCAAAGTAAGGCTAGGTTAAGAACTTCACCAAATTAGATTCGATAAACCCTAAAAGAACAATTCTTCCATTTGGAATTGACACAAGGAAATGGTGAAGAACGAGAGTGAAGCAGGAGCATGTGCATGCTGAAAAGGAAAGATTGAAGGGCCAAAAATTGGAAGTGGTAATGATGATGAAGATGAAGGTACTTAGTAAAATCATCCCGGGTTCTGAGTATCAGTTGAAGGGAATTACTGTAAATAGCTTAGTCTAAATACATCTTTATTAACGTATGCTAGTTAGGAAGACTTGCAAATATGGTAGGGTATTAAGTTAATAGGATCCATGAAAGATGGACTAAGGACCAAACAGCATGAACATTATAAATAATAGGATCAGACGCTATTTTCTCGCATGTCCACTGAACGGAACTAAAAGCGATAAGCGACTAAAACTTGTGCAATCTGATCTAACTAATCACCGCACTGAGCCCCCCCCCCCAGTTTGACCTTCGAATTTGTACAATTTGTGCAGCCGTGAGCTTCAGTTTGGCCTCGCAAACAAGTTCGCAGGGTTCGTCGACGACAATTAGAGTTATAGGTCATTAGGGTCACAGCATACAGAGAAACTAAGCAGAAATGGAAGTCAATGAGGGCATGTACTACTAAATTCTTGGTTAAAAATGGATAAGCTCAATTTGGGACTCAGATTTATAAACCATCACTGGCTCAAAATAATTCGTAAAATAGACCATGTTAAGAATGGTTATATCATTATATTTTTTCCAGAACGATGTTTTAATGCCATTAACTGTGACGGTTTTGCGAATCTTCAACTACTAGCCCTTTAGTACTGCTCTTTTGTCAAACTGAAGGCAGCTTTTGCAAACACCATCATTTAATATTTGCCATTGTAATAATCACCTCTGTTCTGTGATCTAATATCAACCTCCTTTTAATGATCGCGATATCTTTCGCCAATTAATAATTTAATGATTCACATTGAATATATGCTCATCACCATTGTATAATACTGTAAAAATATAATAACTTTACACCGCTTATGCTATGAGTAAATAAACTATTGGGAAGATGTGAAATGTATACTATCTTCTAATTTTCTATTTCTGTTTAACTTTTAGGCTAATAAATGTAAGTTCACTTATGCTCCTTTAACTGTTATGTATCAGTGAAATTACATTATATCCATATATTTTAAACAATGATAATTACGGTCTATCTGATGTGCTTAGGCTTACTATTTCATTTTACAATATTTGCTTTTAGCAGAGGTAAAAATAACAATTGAATCAATTTTTCTTGTTTAAATCATTTTTGGCCTTATTAGTAGCACTCGTGATCTGACCTTGAGCATGTTCTTAATTCATCAAATTAAAGGTACAAGTAGGAGCCAGGTTGCTGTGTTTTGTATGGTAACCGTGGAAGAGTATTTGGAAAGTGCGCTGCGGTTCAGTCGTGGCAGCTTTATATGACGTCTAAACTCACAAGGCAACTAGAAGACAATCACAAGCGTTTTGACCTCATAAAATTCTAAAATGTTAAAGCATACCTTTTTTAGTGGGATAATATGTTAGGACTACTTCAAGTATCCGAAAAGTAAATAAAAATAAGGTGTCATCTTAGTGTTTTATTAATGTCGAACCGTTCAGACTTAAAAAATGTGTTTTGTTAGCTCTTGATTGATGGCAAAAAATCTGTATGCCGCATCAAATCGTATCTGTCCAAATAGGCAAATATATAATACTTTTCATCTTTGGCTTGTGACTAATACTAAATTAATTTCATTTCATCCTTACTTAGTTCAACCTTTCGCATGTGAACCACTAATAGCTAATCCACATTCACCAATGGAAACTACTGTGACTGAATTCGGAAATGCAAAAATATGCTTCGATCAAGTGACCTTCAAGATATTTAATAATAAGCTCGTTCCCGGATATATACTCTACGGCATCGTCTACATCGATGCTGGTGAGGACGTTGTAGTCAACAAAATTACCATTAATGGCATCTGTAATATTCACAAGGATATAACGGGTAGAAATAAATCTTCCACAGACGCTGTAAGTTTGATTCAAATAAAATTTTGGCATTTTTTTAGAAAAGTAGCATATATAAATACCAAAATTATGGTCGATTAGGTGCTTCATTTGGAAGTGATTCAAATGGTGATTAGGAGTGAGAAAGAAGATGGCGATTAGGGGAAGTAAACTTGCATTTTCTCTTCATCGTTCAAAACTGACTTTCTTTAGTGGAGCAAAATAGGAATTGGAATGGGCACTTTTATTTGTAAAGAATAAGCCCTCGCAATTAACTGAAGAGACGAATTCTGTCTCGCGATAGGTTGATTAGTTAGAGCGAGATAAGTATCTAAGTTCAATAATTTAACTGGTAAATACGAGAAGAGGTAAATGTGATAAAAGCTGATCCTACGCAGAGAGGTAAAGAAATGTTTTAAAAACGAGTGACCTAATAAATAAGAACAAAATCCATTATTGTACATTTCACTAAAACTATACCTCACCCTATTGTTACAAGCTAAAAGGAGTTATTTTGATTTTAATCTAATCTGGTCTGAGAGAATAATAAAACTCAAATTTGAGATAATGAGCATAAGTATAGCTGAACGCCAAATAGAGAAGTTTTAAATTCCTATCTGCTTAATGATGAAAGTAATAAGCTCCTGCAACAAGAAAAACCTATTTCATATGTGTTCCCTAAAAATGGATGCATTATTTCATGCATTCATTTTCAAACTTCACGTTTACCCTCTAGAGTTATCTGAAATTCGTTTGCCAAAGTGTGTCCGCTGTGCTTATTTGGGGTTATTTCAAACTTATTTGTATGTGTATCTGGAAATGATTATCAGATGGGCATATGTTAGAACCTTATCAACTATTAACCCACTTATATATTGCGTCAAGCAACTTTTATATTCCCTTTTATTAATTGCAGCAAGCGAGTTCATTCAAAAAGGAAATTTTGACGAGTATGGGTAGTGGAAACAGAAGACAGGCCAATCAGTATCAGGCTCTAACAACTCAGTGGGATGGAGATGATCTCATGGAGAAGTTTAATTTTGACGATAGCTACTTCCAAACTGATGACATGGAGTGGCCTTTTGCTGGTCCAATCACTCTTCATAAAGGCACGCATGCAATTCCATTCGCTATCCGCATTCCATCTGAGGTCAATCCTACGATAGAATTCACCAGAAGAGGTGAAAAGCGTGATCAGAAGGCTACTATAGCTCATACGTAAGTGAATTTATATCTTGGCCTTAATTGTAACCAACCTAAGTGCCAGTCATGTGCACGCATTGGTACGCTTTTTCCGTTCGACCTAATAAAACTGTTACCGAATGAAATCAGTCAGGGCGATATTGAAGGTGAAACTAGGCCGAATTTAAGCTTTCCAACCTGGAGGTCTCATGGTATTACTCTACTAACAAATATGTTGAATAAAGTATTGATGTTGTGATTAACAGATCACATAAATTGATATACATTAGTAAAAACTTAACATTCTCTTAGCAATTATTGAATAAACCGCATAATTTCGATCACCAAGAAATTTCATTTTGAACAACGTATTAATACAGCCAGTTATGGTGGCGTAGAGATAGATTTTATCCAGACGTAGTAAAAGTTAGAAGACATTTGTGCTAGAGCTGACTAAATTTATAGTAAGAAATATGAAATAAATTAACCCAAACCTCCCCCCCCCCTCCATCCTTTCTGTCATTAAAGGAGATACGCAATCGCATGAGGAAGTGGTCATGAACCCAATATTCCTTACACTCGAATAGACTCCCACGTAGTGGTGCTAAATAGGGCTAGGTCCGTTAAAAAATAGTGAGATAATAAACTATAAGCATGATAAGTGATCCGTAGTATAAATTTAAGGTTTAAAAAGGGTTATCACAATTTATTAACTGCAGTCGCGGGTAGTGAGGTGGTCAGATTATGGGAACGCAACAGCCCCAGTGCTCATTGGTGCTAAGGCACTCATGCATATTGTAAATTGCGCTTTCCCATTGTGGTCAAGAGTAGAATAATACAAAAATACGTGTGAAATTCATAAGACAGCGTCGTGAGAGTATGCTTTATCCGGGAAAAGTCGTTGTTCTATTGAGTCTATTCCAATTGGCCAAGAAGTTAATTATATTCAATTCGCCTCGTCTCAATAGGTATTCATCAGTTGGTCCGAAACCAATCAACCCAATCAAATATTTAAAAAAACCATCTCTTTATGAGCTCGTTATGCTTTATGCCCAACTAATTCACTATTTAAGTTGATCTATTACATAATTTTAAATGATTCATAATGTCAGGCATTTTTTTCAATTTAACAGGACATCAGTAGGTGTGGAAGTTAATGGAAAACCGGTCAGTGGGGGACAACTTCTGACCGTTCTAAGTGACAAATTAGAATTGGATATGCAAAGCTGTGGTGGATTGCCCCCAGTCGTCAACGGGGCTTATGCTCCAGGCTCTGTCCAGCTTGTGAAACTGAGTTATAAAGAAGCTAATGCCCTCATTATCGTAGGTTTATCGGATCACTTTTAAGCGCTATACATACTAAAAAATCTGACTAATAGATTAATCAATATTTTGCCTAATAGCTCGAGAAGAAACACGTTTTGCCTGGTGACACCTTGCGAATCTTCGTTTACACTGACAAAAAGGGCGCAGTGAGGAAAGCAGTCGCAGAGTTGGTCGTCTCGTATAACATTCCAGAGATTGGTCTCTCGGATAGTAATGATGTTACGACGGTAAAGGAATCACGTTCTGTCGAGCTTTTAGAGAAAAGTTCCAAGAAAAGGCTCTCAAAGAGGATGAATAAGGTGTTCATTTCAAAGATTAGTGATACCTTCCCACCCAGTGACACAAATAACACACCCAGTGGTCGTTTGAGACTTACTATGGATGATAAACGACTTATGCCGGAGACAGCACGTGTTGAGGGCTGTGTGATTGAAATGAAAATTCCCAAAACTGTAGAGCCCTCCATTGAAGCTGGTGGTATTCGCATTCGTCACCATGTGCGGGTAAGTTGCATTTCTTAGTTAAACGGTGTCATTTATAAGGCCATACGACTGCTAGTTTCCCATTTTGAGAACTATACCAAAATTTTGTGTCTTCCTGTTGTAATGTCTGTACGGCATTCACTAGTACAGAAATGTTTCTTAGTACTGAAATGGAAAATTATTTGTTTGGCATAACTGAATGAAAAAACTAATATTAAGACATTTGAATTTTGTCAATGGCTCCTTTTTTCTCTCCAACAAAAAATTAGCATTTGGTTGACAAATTTATGGGAATACTTTTATTTTTAGTCAAATAGCATAAATTTGTGAATTCTGGTTAATTAAATTATTTTGAAATAAAGTTTCTTAACTATTGGTTTCACAAATATTGTTTAATGTTTGCGAATTTAATATTTTATACAATATATTTCAAACAATCCTCTGGTGTTTGTCTTCATTACTGTTAACTTTATGATGTGATTAAAAAATATTTTCGGCAAAGAGAAATTTTATAATCTTAAAATCTAGACTGTTTTTCCGAAGAAGGTTTGAAAAATAAACTTGATCTAAATTATGAGTGCTAAAAAAATTTCCACATTTTTACTTTCAGCAAAGAAATCGACTAGGTCATTTCGTCAATTGTTGAGCATAATTAAATCAGTAATCAATAAGCTACACAAGCCTTGACTGAATCTCTACGGGAAAATTTCCCTAGTATGAATTTACTCCCAAAATTACCTTAGCTTCCTGAACAATATCGAGGAGACATATCTGATGTAGAAAACGGCGTTGATTGTGTCCTTGATATAACTGACAGAGAAAGTAGTTGTTAAAATAAAATTAAGCATACGCTAATAATGCAGTGCCTATTGATTGCCGTTTGGCTGAGAGCTCTTTACGCATGAAGTTTCTTATATCCGCCTTTTTGGCATCATGCGCTTCACACATTCATTAGTAGAGCTAAGTTACTTTTGTAATTGCTATGATAAATCATTTTCTTTTATTCCCATGAACAGTAGATTTCATTATTGAGTCACCTTACGACAACCATATTCAATAATTAGTTTACCACAATTAATCAATCAATCAATCAATCAAAATGCCTCTTACTCTAGTAACTACAACTACCAGACTCGCACTATTTTTCCAAATAGTCTAACAATTGATTAATTGTGGATTAAATAATATTTAAATAGTGGCGAATATTCGTGCTTGCCAAGTCAGATGTTATAACAATAATATCATCGAATTATCCCCATTAGCAAGGATAGTCGAATACGCGCTTCTTCACAGAGTAGTTCTAGTGTAGCCTTCTTCCATCTAGTTCTAATGCGCTTTAAATCTCCTTTCTTTCTAGGAAAAATGTAAACCATGACCACCGCATTTTTCTTCAATATTTCATAAAAAATATTCATGTCCTTACAGAAACGTGAATTTTGATCTGATTTCACAGGGCATTGGACAAACCGAGATAATTTTCTAGTTCGTTCGTAAATTTTTTGTATTCCAGAGAAACACTCTTCAATAAAACTCCCTTTTCCTCCTCCCTCCCCCCCCCCACCCCACCCCATGAGGTGGAAGAATGCGAGATAAGTTAGACTCTCTAAACCAGACTACAAACTTTGACGTTACGCCAATGCTTAACGAGACAACTCCAGGGTGAATTAAAAAAATCGTTTTCCTTATACCAAGGACCCATTCAATTTTGATTGGAAAGATATGTAAGTGGGAAAGTCTCCAGTCCGAGTAATCCAATTCACTCAGATAAACCTTTGCCTAAACCAGTTTATTAAAAAGCAACTAAGAAAGTTGTCTTCATTAATATTAAGCCATGCATAAAATTAATTCGTACTTGAGGTTAAAATGCTTGCTCTTACCGCTATGCCAAATAAGTGAAAAAGCAATTCTCCAAAAGGACAACTGTTCTTTTGCATTGACCAATAACATTACTTTCTTCCTGTTTTGTCCCCTTAGTTCCTAAGGCATAATTAATTTTGCCTATTTTTTTGAAAATATGAACCAGCCTCTCACTACTGAGCCCTTCAACATAATACTTACAATTCATTACCGTGAGTTATTAGTAGTAAAATAGAATTATTGGGAACCAAAGCGGAAGAGACTGTAGCGGACTGCTACGCTAGCGAAGCCTGACTGACTCAGAAATCTCTATGGCAGATTCTCCAACATCTAGCTAGACTCCCAGAATCAGCTAAGCCATAACCCAGCTATAAAGGAAACAGACGTGTAGCACGGAGCACGCCTACTCAGGACGTCTATTGCGGATAAGGTGCACACGCAGGGAGCTACTCATGATCAGGATAGGGGATTAGGTTAAACAAACGGAAGCTACTGATTGGCCACTGTTTGTGCGATCGTTGTACACAGAGTTGTACGGCCGCACATCCCAATCCTGGCGTGCAGGCGTGCGATGACGCACAAATCGATAACGTGTCCCACAAGACCAATTCAGGGCAGCATGTGCCCTTGGAAATCTTCTCTTTCATTTTCATTGATTTAATAGATATTTTTGGAATGATGAACAATATTTCCAATTTTAATATCTTAGCTCTATAATACCCACCTACTACACAATACCACTAATGGTTACATGGGCCAAAACAACTATTTACTACCAGGGAGAGGGGGTGGTTTTATACGCAGTCAATAATTTTGTTCTTTGACCGCTTGAATTAGTTGAAAGTTAATTAGAGATGCAAATAAACTTTCATTGAAAAATTGAATTTAAAATGGATTTTATCCAATATCATATTTATTGGTGCGGCCAAAGATTTAAGCTTTCGCCAGCAAACAGGTATTAAGCAACTATTAGGTTGACAACAAAGTCATTGCCGATTTCAAATAAGAAGGCAAATTCGGAATTTTTGTTTAAAAATATAACTTTATTCAATTAGATATTGGCCGTTCTTGTCGATGACCTTTTTCCATCGTTCTGGCAGAGTAAAAATTCCCCNGAAAACAACACCCTTCCGCCGATTTGATAATGCCGGCCGCTTATCTTCAATTTCATCCTTCAGTTTTTCGAGTTCTTCAACATACGCATTTGAATTTATCGTTTGGTTCTGCGGCATGAGTTCAAAATACAAAATTCCTTTGTGATCCCACCAGACTACTGACAGCATAATCTTTTTTTGGTGAATCTCTGCTGCTTTTGATACTGTTTGGGCTGGTTGATCTTGCTTCACCCATGATCTCTTGCGAGTAACATTGCTATAAACTATCCACTTTTCGTCGCCAGTAACTAGGTTCTTCCTCGGAAATGGATCATTCTCATTGCGTTTCAGTAGCGGCGAATCACAGATGCTAATCCGTTGCGTCAAATGAATTTCCTTTAACTGGTGAGGGATCCATAAATCAAGTTTCTTGACATAACCAAGGGTTTTTCATTTTTTTTCAATGCATGTATGCGACACATTGAGCTTCTCTGCAATATCTCGTGTTGTGCTGTGACCATTTGAATCGATAATGGCCTTGATACGGGTTTCATCCACTTCGACTTTGAATTTTTGAGTGAAAAATCACCGGAACGAAATCTTTCAAACCAATTTCGACACTGCCTTTCTTCCTCACGGCTTCATCTCCATATACGGCACATAACTTCTTTTGTGCTTGCGATGCGTTCTTGCCTTTTCGGAAGTAATACAATAAAATGTGTGGGAAGTGCACGTCCTGTTCTTTCATTTTTAAATTGGGATAAAAACAAAACTAAAGAACTAAACAAAAAAATTTTTTTACTAATTAACCTAGAAGCCCATACAGTAAGAAAAAAATATAGGTTAGATGCTCTGGCATAGAGTGAATTCGTCAACAAAAACACCAATGACTTAGTTGCCAACCCAATAATTGTGATTCGAGGGGTTACTAAAACACATCATTCTGCCACTACATTGACAGTGCTGTCTGCTTGGATGAAGTTGGAAGGTCTCTGTTTAAAACTCAAGAAATCGGGGAGAAAATGGAATGTATGACGCATCATTCCTCTCATAGGTTGATTAAATCCCCTGAGAGATAAAAGAAACAAGCAGTTTTAAATATTATTAAAAAAGGGCATATTTTTAAGGTCCTTATGAATTTTTCATCCATACTTAGGTTCACTTGGATATTCCTCGTCAAAGAAAACCAACAAGTCAGGCTCAAATGATCACAACGGCGGAGACATTGAAGCACAATTACACGGTCAAGTACATTAAATTTGTCAATTAGTCAATGAATTAAAAACTGTCGTTAAATTATTCATTATTTAACTAAACCTATTTCGTGCTGTCTAAATTCATCAAATAAATTAATTTAACCTGGCCTTTAATTCTTTTACGATTGAAAATTTGAATATATAGGTCTACTTGCTTACTCTTCTAGTATGTTAACCCTCTGACGTCCTAAGGACTGTACAGTTCCCTTTCAAAATAAGCACCACTGGTACTAGACACGTAACGAAAGGTGTTGTTGCCGTTTGAAATATGTTCAATACGTCTATAGACTTCGTCGGTTACCACCAAAACTCATCACATCGGCGGGTCAGTCTGCTGGGCGTCACGCCGGAGTGCAGTTGGGTGCATTTTTCAAAAAATAATTTGGCTTTATAGGGTTAAATAAGATTTATCTATTTTATTTATTTATGTCAAATAACAGGCGTTCTGATAGTTATCATTGGCCTCTAGCTGATTGCGGGCTTCACGGAGGGAGGGAGGAACATCAAAGTGACAAAAAGTCGAGTGGTGGGGAACAGAAGAGTAATTCACAGATGTTCAAGAAATAGACAGACACAAAGGCAGAGAAAAGGTAAGGTGAGTACTGTGAAAGTGGTGGATTATGGTATACAGTGGGATCATGGTAGTTTAAAGTCAGAAGTCAACTGACGGTTAATAGACTTTTTGCCGTATGAGTATACGTTGCTCATGGTGCACCACATGGAGGTAAGTCTATCGCACACCTCAGTAAAAGAAGATTAGATTGTTCTCCAGTGAAATGAGAAAATATCTCATAGTTCACATAAAGAATTTTTCAGTATTACTTAAGAAATATTAGTAAAGTGTTAAGCCTTAGGAATGCTTTCATTACTTGTGTGTGCACTAAAGTTGAAATCATCCATTATCTCTAAATGCGTTGGAACGCCACGGTTTTGATGCCTAAATGGTTAGTAAGTTTGGTTCTGGTCAGTTTGCAATACTCTCACAGTCATCTAACGTGGCAAATCCTTATGAATGTTTTTGGTGTTTTTTGGTAAACCAGCATGCACTTAGATGGAAAGGAATTAAAACCACCCTAAGCTACTCCCCTTGCCAGACGATTGTGAAAATAATTTTCATCGTGCAGATCATCATGCAAGTGCTGTGGTTATTGAGCAACTTGTAATTGAGATGCACTTAGTTACGTTGACATTCCTCTTTAGATGGTAGTTACCATTGCATCAAGTTGACCGCCTCATCTCATTCGTGCTTCCTATATGTTTGTTGAACCCCCTTTCTATCCTTTCTGCTCTTTTAAGACCTTTATGCCATTTTTATTATGCCTTACCTTGTCCTTGAACGTCTACTTATAAGCTAATTATTTAGACGGTGTTTTATAGTTTTTTTCATTTTTTTACGAAAGCAGACTGATGATATGGTTTACATTTGTTTGAGAAGCTGAAATGCATGACTGATGAATAAAATAGTCGCCTCTTAATTGGTCATCCAACTCTAAATGACTTCCATATCGTTTATAATAGGTTCGCACACACAAACGATCTTCTGAAAAATAAGTTTTTTTCAAGAAAATGAGAACGAATAAAATTGTCATCGATCCGGCCATTGAATTGTAGCAACCAATCAAATGACAAGATATCATTATTTAAAAGGCCATTATCAATCTCCTCAATTCTTCTTCTCGCCATTAGCGAATAAAAGATCTCAATGCAATGTCTCTAGCATACACTGTCAAATAGACCTACCTTCTTAGGTATGATCTGAAGGATAGATCTCATAAAGGGAAATGTACCCAGTCGCATTGCCAGTAATGTTCAAACAATAATCAAAACTCTGCAATCATTTAAACACATGTACATTAAGTCGTTTTGACATCTCCTTAATTCTTTTAACTAATTGAATCTTTGGCCTGGACCAGCTGATGTTGACAAAAAACTGTGAATGCCACAAGAATGCCATATAATCAAAGAATGTCATATGAAAGCATTACATAACAATAATTTAATGCTTGCGGACCACAAATTAAACACCGCTCAGTTATATGCATTGATTTGGAAGTTATTGCAAAATGTCATGCTTGACTAATACAATCCAATTTTCTCGTCAATAGATCCAGTCGATAAGCCTAAAAAATGAGGTTTAAGCAAATATATCGTGATGACATGAAATTCCAAACCCAATTGGGGAATGTTGCAAAGCTACATTTAAATGAAAGATGGCAACTAGAAAAGCAGAACAAACAAAATTAATTTTAAGCAGAAAGACTAATTACCAAGAATTAACAAGCACGAATCAGCGCATAAAACGCATTTAGAGGCGAACCATAACACCAAATCGGATTATCTGGTATGTTTCACAATCCACCTTAAATATTGTGCATTATGAAGAAGAGTCAAGTAAATATGAAAGGAATCAAACATTGTAATAATTACTAGGTGTAAGAGGAAGTGGTATTCTTGTATTGGTCATTACGCTCCGCCCTCTGGGAATTATATCATGATGGGTCAATATCTTGGTTCAGCCAAGGGTCATGTCCCTCCTATGGTTGACCCGGTCGGTGAGCAGGTATGTATACTTAACATCAGTTTGGTAAGGTATCTTGGGTACTTCCAATCCACTTGTGTTTCGATGGTAAAACTTTCTGAATCCTTCCAAATCCGCACGAAAGACTTCGATTTATGGCTTACCATGAATAAATTTTAAGTTGCTTTCACTAAAATCTCCTTTCATAAATTGTAAATAAGTCGAAAAGATAAATTCGTGATTAAAACTCTTATTTCATTTTTATATTCAACTTTATTCATGCCCGCAGATTTAGTGTTTAACTTCTATGCTTGAGGGTGATTAACAACGAGGGCAGTAACTTTGTTCATCTTTAAGAGACTTGAAAATGCACACTTAACCAGGGTCTCTTGCGTCAATTCTTCATTTGCAAAAACTCCACAATACTTATTAAACGAAAAACGAAAAAGTTGTATCGGCTGTTTACCCTTTTCAATCGTAGCTACCGACGGTTCTGAAGACGAAAAGTGAGGAGAATGAAAAATTGTCATCTTTCACTCCACGTTTCACAAATGTCTTCTCCTCTTCCGTGAATAGATTTAACTCCCTCTGAATCTTATTCACATTTATACAGTATATGACAAGAGCTATAACATACAGATGAGAAGGACTTAACTCTGAAAAAGGTTAAATTTCAAGATTAAAATAATCCTTTTAATCATATTTAATAAATGAGGTCTGTTGCTTCCGCCTTAAACACCAATCGATAGCTTTATTCTCAGAAGAATTTTCAAAGTACCACTAAGTTAATATTAGTTAAATAAATCAGAATATTTTTCACAATTCTTATACAGACATAATTGAGAGTGTTGAAAATAGAATGTTAATTTCAAGGAAATGAGGAGTGGATTGTGTTCAAGTGTACGAGAAAGGTTTAAAGAGTTGTGAGTTTGTGGTTGAATCGACCTTTTCAGTGGCTAAACGTTTGAAAGCGCATTCAGAGTTACACCGACAGCTGTCACACAAAAAGCTAGGGCAAGAAGGATATAGTTCCGTTTTCCCTGAAAAGGAGAGTGAAATAAATGTTAATAATGAGAAGTGGAAATAATCAAACAAATTTTATAAAGTATCAGTAGTTTGATTGATCGAAAGCTTCAAATTCAATAGGGTGGTATTCGCTCTCCTCTCTTTCTCTCGCACGTACGCATACACATACACGCACAAAATGCAATTGTAAGATTAAAAAGCCAATTTCGGCGACTTTCACTGTCTGCATTTGCATAATAATAATAATAAACAGACGCCACCCGCTTTGTTAATAGTACCAAACAAACAAAATAAATACACCCTTCCGGCACGACATACTCTAATTTCACGGAAGAAAATTGAACCACAAATTGTGGCTATCAGAGCTGGACAGGTGGTGATGATAGGAAACGTGACTGGTTCGCCGAGAGCAGCATTAGCTACAAACCAAGCCGACTGCGCTGTTCCCCATAGAACACCGCTTATTAAGGCCGGAATAATGGCTTTTGGCGAGGGAATCCATGGTCGGTTTCTCTTGCATAAGGCGTAGATCAGAAAGATGGCGGTGGAGGCCATCCAAATGCCGACAAAGTTAGCGAAAACGTAATGGAGACCTGTCATTAGGGAAAAAAAGCTTTCAAATTGCCTAAAATGTTAGACTTATTGGAAGTGTATACAAATATTACCCTCCACACTAGCTCCCTCGTACCGGGTTTGGATATACTGAGTTGGAACGAAATTGTTTCCATAGAGAGAACCAGCGATCACAGCCAAGAGGACACCGCTAAAAATATATATTACTTTATAATTTCCTGTTGTCGCTACAACAATAAGATCGATATCAGACCATCAAGTTTTTCAACTTGAGATTTTTCCCAATCAATTTATTTTTATTTTTATTTGCTCATTTAGTATCATTAATTGTTTTTTTTATTAGTTGTCTTATGACTTTACTTTTCGGTTCGCGATAGACTAAAAATGAATGAAGGATTTTTGGTTCTCATATAGGCCAGAATATTTTTATTTCTAATTGCATAACATTTATACATTACCTAATGAAAGTGCTATAAAAATTGAGGTGGCAATAAGCGTGATTAATATATTAAAATTATTTTTCTTATTTTTTGTAATGCATAGTTCATGAGCAAATATATTTAATTAATCTCCTTACTTAATTTTAATTTTAATAATTTAAATTGTGATCGAAATTTTTACGATATCTTAATATATTCTTTGTCTCTACTTTAACTTAGTAATAGATGAAGTGATATTTTCAGCACTTATTGTATTTGTGGCATTTCTGCCAAATACCACTTGCATTATACGTCTTTGAGCCAAGGGCATGCTTGAGACCGGTTTGCAGATGCGACCACATCGTCCGGAATTTTCTCTCTCATCCATAAGGAGAGTTTTAGTGGTATTTCTCCCCGTTCGAACTGCTTCATCTGCTTCTTCATCTCTACCCGAGGACTCCTTGCTCTCCGATTGGTTGGGTTTAATTGCCGCGAAAATGATAACGCTATTGAAGGAAATCAGTTTTCATTTAAAATTTGGCATACAATTGTACTCATTACAACTTAAAGGCTTAACTTCAATAGTAGTGCTTTAATTACCAAGCTTAGTAAATGGTTTATAAATTTGGGTGTTGGATTTCGAAATATTTAAAGATTTGTCTGAAAGTTGGGCCCTAGCATTGAAATATCAATTATAAATGCTGTTTTTTTCAAATCCCATTAAAATCATAGTGATTCTATCACTTATTTATCACAAATTTAATGCAAAGTTCGTGAAAAATAGTTGAGACTTCCTAATTCCATGTATGGAGCCTTCTCTTGTGAGAACCCGATTCTGATACTTTAATGTCCGGGTTGATATGATAACGCCTGGTAGCTCTCAGAGATAAACATTAAATTGTGCATTGAAATTTAAAGTTTTTCTATAGAGTAAGGAAAGGTGAGCACAATTAGCTTATTTAAAGTTTACTCTAACCTTCCAAGGGCAATGGCCACACCGATATAGTTCATGATTGGTCTCTTCGGGATCTTCTGGGCAATTCCAAACCATCCGAATCTAGATTAACAATAAATATTTATTCAATTAGAACTATTTTGTATAAAGCTTTTTATAGATTTGACGACTTACCGACTTGTAGCGAATCCGAAAAGCAGGTTGGACATTGACCAAATAATCATACCAAGTCCCACACCAATTGCTTTAATGATTGTCACGCTCAACGAATTGCCTATAATTGTTCGAAAAGTAATTAAGCCATTCAAAATCTACTCTTCTAGGCCACACCGTCCTTAATCATAAAAAATTCGTCAAATATTGTTCAGGTAAAGTAATGCGGATCAGGACTTACTAAAAGATAAAACACAACGTCTGCTATTTCTTAATAAGTGACTTTTTCTGTTGAGTAATCGTCAATAATTTTTCATTTGAAAAGTAAAAAAAATTACCAGCAGCCCATAGTGCACCACCAAACATTGCAAGAGGGTAGAATTTTGGACATCCAACCGCGCAGTTCACAATGATACCGACAAGTAATATAGCATTACACATCATCCATTGGAAGAACATTCCTAAAATGAGCATGCTCGTGAATTCAAATAACCGTATTCCACTTCACCGTTTCGATAAAGGACTTGGACTTACCATCGCCCATGTTGAATTTTTTCACAGGGAGGTAATTGGTGCCAAACCCAACGGCACAGACTACAATAGCAATGTAGCCAAAAGTTGGTGAGGTAAGACTAAGAGACCCTGTGGTGGTCTCATTAATGACACCTGTCACGTTCATTCTTGGGGGGAGAAAAGCTAATGGATAAGAGTATGCAGCATATACGAAATAACTATCAAGCCTAACCTGCTTATATAGTGTTCGGAAGCAGCAGGTCACTGCCTATCAGCCGAGCCCGCATTATGTAAACAGTAATTTGTATGCTGATCTGAGTGGTTGCTGGCACATTCTCGCTCATTCTCGTATGCATACGCGGTGTTTTAGGCCTCCAGGATCACTTAGTCATCATGCAGTCATTTTCTCCTAATAAAGGACATTGAATTTGCGTGTTTGTCAGAGTGTTGTTTTGGTTGTCATTACTTGTAGACATGTCCACATTGTATATTGTTCGACTGATTAAGATATGCCAGTATTCGCAAAAAAATTAAACTTTCATTTTATTAACAAAAGATTAAGCCAATCCGATCATGTTCAACTGGTGTAATAAATATTTACCACTTCATTTAAAAGTAGCAATTGGTAATTGTCTTCATTGAGTCTGAAAACCACTGGACAATATATCTTATGTCATAAACAGTAATAAAAAGGATATTAAATTGTATTTGTTGGTTTAAAAGAAATAATTGATCAAGGACGAATTCAAAATTGACTTACTATCTTAAAGATTAATTTGTTTAATAGCAGTTATTTTAATTATAAGAATACAATACACAGACTTTAAGGTTGTCAATAATTTTGTAATTCATTCAGTTCAAAAAATAATTTCTAAAAATATGTTAGAAAAAAATGTGATATTGGTGAAGTCTGAGTGACATCATTAGTGCTCAGCTGATGTTGCGGCAAAGTAATGTGCTTGTTAAGTTAGAGGCCTTAGATACATTAAGTGATCACACGATTTGCCGCTTGTCGACAGAAGAATAGATTAGGTTGATTTTCTTATCTATTAGAGTCCCAGAACAGCATATATTAGGTTGGCAACAAAGTCATTGTCGATTTCAAATAAGAAGGCAAATTTGGAATTTTTGTTTAAAAATATAACTTTATTCAATTAGATATTGGCCGTTCTTGTCGATGACCTTTTTCCATCGTTCTGGCAGAGTAAAAATTCCCCCTTCGTAAAATGTCTGGTCTTTACTATTAAAAAACTGAATTAGGTGTGATCCGACATCATCCACGTTGTTAAAAATTTTACCATTTAAAGAGTTTTGCATGGAACGAAACAAGTGGTAATCCGAAGGCGCAAGGTGAGGGCTATATGGTGGGTGTGACAAAACATCCCAACCCAGTTCCAATAATTTTTGCCGAGTAACCAAAGATGTGTGGGGCCTTGCGTTATCAAAGATGTGTAGAAAACAACACCCTTCCGCCGATTTGATAATGCCGGCCGCTTATCTTCAATTTCATCCTTCAGTTTTTCGAGTTCTTCAACATACGCATTTGAATTTATCGTTTGGTTCTGCGGCATGAGTTCAAAATACAAAATTCCTTTGTGATCCCACCAGACTACTGACAGCATAATCTTTTTTTGGTGAATCTCTGCTGCTTTTGATACTGTTTGGGCTGGTTGATCTTGCTTCACCCATGATCTCTTGCGAGTAACATTGCTATAAACTATCCACTTTTCGTCGCCAGTAACTAGGTTCTTCCTCGGAAATGGATCATTCTCATTGCGTTTCAGTAGCGGCGAATCACAGATGCTAATCCGTTGCGTCAAATGAATTTCCTTTAACTGGTGAGGGATCCATAAATCAAGTTTCTTGACATAACCAAGGGTTTTTCATTTTTTTTCAATGCATGTATGCGACACATTGAGCTTCTCTGCAATATCTCGTGTTGTGCTGTGACCATTTGAATCGATAATGGCCTTGATACGGGTTTCATCCACTTCGACTTTGAATTTTTGAGTGAAAAATCACCGGAACGAAATCTTTCAAACCAATTTCGACACTGCCTTTCTTCCTCACGGCTTCATCTCCATATACGGCACATAACTTCTTTTGTGCTTGCGATGCGTTCTTGCCTTTTCGGAAGTAATACAATAAAATGTGTGGGAAGTGCACGTCCTGTTCTTTCATTTTTAAATTGGGATAAAAACAAAACTAAAGAACTAAACAAAAAACTTATTTTACTAATTAACCTAGAAGCCCATACAGTAAGAAAAAAATATAGGTTAGATGCTCTGGCTACGTTAACAAAACAAAAGAAAGTATGGAGTGAATCTGTCAACAAAAACGGCAATGACTTAGTTGCCAACCCAATATATATCAAAGATGATTTTAAAAAGCGTTCATTACAACGAACTTAAGGATTAAATTGATTAAATAGACCCATATAATTTGTTAAGCAGCTTGTCGGTAGTGGTTCATTGTCTTAGTGACAAAGTAGCTGACGAATTCCTCCTAAGTAATGGAAATGGTCAGGGTCAAATACGTTGACCTGGATTATTGACACCCACACCCACACCCACCCACACACGCACACACACACACACACACACACACACATATGCGGGCGCTAAAGCCCTGTCCTCGCTCCATCAGCAATGGTAATATCCACTCCGATACGAATTGACTGATATTGCAATTTTTTAACTTGATATGACGTGTTTAAACCAAAATTTTGTAAATGCTTCAATATATACAGCAAATTATGCGTCTGGTAAGGGAGAAGAGCATCCCAGCGAGATACTGTATCACTTTTAGGCCCCCAAGCGAAGGAACCACTTTCCTTCCATCGCACGAGTAAAGTTCATGCTTATTGGATTAACAACAACTTGTAATTTACAGGTTCCTCATTGTAGCTCCAGTTAGCGCAAGCTTAAATATTCAAAATTTTAACAAGCAGCGTCGGCCAACAAGAGACGTGGTGAACTGCGAGTTTCTCTTTGAAGCTACATCTGTTAAGCAATGCTTTCCTCTAAAACCTAGCTTTTTACAATTTCATTTACTAATATTTATTGGAATATTCATAATTCTTTTGAATATCAAGTTCTACCATTCCCTTTCGTCACTTATTTCAAATTCATGGGAATTTAGAGTTTAGTCCAAATAATCTTGACTTAAATACTTTTCAGTTGTGTATCTCCCAAAGGTAAAAGTGTATTTGGAACTTATCAGCTGATCCATATGATTTATTCATAATGCACTGTTACTAATCTGGGTAGACAAGTAATATTCTCGTGAAAATGTGACACGGTCAACCTTATTCGCGTTTCAAGGTCCAGATGAGGCCATATTATGGGGACTAGTGATGCTACAATGCTTAGTTGTCAATTCAATATTACTTCAAATTTATTGATATTTATAACTAATGGCAGGCGTTTTGATAGCTATCATTAGCCCTTTAGTTGACTTCGGGCTTCACAGAGGGGAGGAGGAACATCATAGTGAGAAGAATACGGGAGGGGGGAATAGACAAGTGATTCACAGATGTAAAAGAAACAGAAAGACACAAAGGCTCAGAAAGGGTAAGATGAGTACTGTGTTAGGGGTTCAGTGGGGTCATAGTAGTTTGAAGTGAGAAGTCAACTGCCGTTAATAGACTTTTCGCCATATGATTATACGTTGCCCAGGGTGCACCACGAGGAGGTAAGTCTATCCCACACCACAATTTATTGATATAATTATTTTTTAACTTTAAATTAATTAACTAAGTTTACTTAAAATAATTAATTTAAGGAAGACGTAATTTAGTAAAGTAGATCCATTTGTGAACACTTTAAGCCACGTGCATAAGTCGTAGAATGTAAATTTCTTTCCGTTTCAATTTTTGATGTATGTAAGAACCTGGTATTTGTTATATCACACTTCTCTTAAATTTGCATTTAAGATTAATCACCCGCTTTCGTTAGAAGAAAAGAGCCATAATTTTCTTCCCCCTCCATAAGGCATCACAAGGTCATTACACACCCTAAAACTCACGTCGTCGTATTTGGGAGGATCTTTCCTATCAGTATGCACATATGCAAAGGTCCAAATAAATATCTTCTCCCCCTTCAAGGAAATAAATTAAAAAGCCCACAGAAACCCAGCACACAGGGCGGTTTGGCAATTTCGTCAATGGATCTGTTTTCGAATTTGCTATTAAAAAGTGTTTTAGTTAATGCTGTTTCGATTAAACAAATTTGGTTGTTGTTGCTGTATTGTGTCATCGCAAAACAAAGTTAAAGCGTCACACATAGACAGCTGGCAGCCGATAATGAGAGAACGATTGTGAAGTATTTACAGCCGACTTTCCCACTTGCAAAATTGCTTTATTTTGTTATTTAGAGTAAAATTTATTTTATAACTGAGAAAAGCAGAGGAGATTCCATTTACTTTCATGTGAAATTAATCCAATAAGGCAAATCTAATTTAGTAATTTGGTATTTCAGTAAAAGTATCCTTTTTAAGCATTGATAAAGATTAAAATTCAAAAATTGATATAAATCCTATTTAATTCTCATTCTAGTAATTCGAATTCGTCCACATTGAAGGCAACAGAAGTGCAAGTTTTCCACAAAGTGTTCAAAATCATTTAAAACATTTATCGACAACGACAACGAGGGATAAGAAGTCATCGGATGTATTCAAAACGCATTCGTCCTCGTTTGAATGAACTTCTGGATTGCTAATTATGGTATATTAACTTTAGGTCAACCTCTTTCTCGAGCATGTTGTAATTACTATAGGGAAATCGATATTTGGCCTAATATTCTTTTTTAAAAGCAAGAATAAATTTTGACCTGAAAAAGTATACCACTATGTTTTCCCTCAGAAAGAATAATTCACATTCTGCATGCGGCTTTCAATCGGTCAACCTGACTACTGAAGAAATTGACATCAGTCCAGCGATGGGTTATTTTGTATTAATCACGAACTCCTTCAACTTTGATTTGTAAATATTATCTGATATCCCCCCCCCCCCCCCATCTCTTTCACTCTTCGAACAGATGAACACTTTAATGTGTCTCTCAATGAACTTTCGAGTTTCAACGCACTTGGCAGAATTATGCCCTATTAAAACTAGCTATTAAAGGGACAACGTATTGCCTTATAATATCCATATGCAAACCTTTAGGT